GGGATGGCCCCTCGCCCTGCTGCTCCACTGGCTGCTCCTGGCAGGTCGCGGCCACCTCTGCGAGGCCGCCCCAGGCGACGCGGGCGCCCGGCAGGGACTCGTAGCCCCAGGCAGGCAGCGCAGGCCACCCGGGAGCCATCGGGCGCCTCCGAGTGCTTCAGTGCTGCCTCCCAAGGCTGAAGCACTTGCTGAGGTAACGGCAGTGAAAGGAGTTCAGCTCCTGGGTCGCACACGACACTTTCGTTGACCTGAGTTTTCTAGCAGATAACCTTTCCTTTTGCCTTGATTTCCCCTCCGCAAGGCCCTTGTTAGCATGCTCTGAGGTGCCATTTGTGAGCTATTCCCACTTTTCTCTCTGGTACAGCCTGACCTACATGATTCAAAGCCTTTCCCAATTTAAGTAATAGGTTCTTGTTTTGAAACCAAGCGGCTGCTGTTGTCTCCCGGTTGGCATGGAGGAGGAGAGCCGCTCCGCCACCCCGCAGCCTTGTTAGTCGAATATGGAAGTCTGCAACCCCATTTGCTGAGGGTGAGGAGAGCAGTGAATAGCATCTGCATTAATCAGCCAAGGACTTGGGTGCTTAAAAGATCAGGAGGTCTAATATAAACAGGCAGCTCAGTGGAAGATGCAGCCCCTCCTGCAGGCCCAGCAAGCGGGTGGCTCCCCTGTGAGACACCAGCAGGCACAGGCAGTGCTCAGAGACACCTTCATCAGCCCAGGCCTGCTCCTGGCAGGCTTCATCAGCCCAGGCCTGCTCCTGGCAGGCACAGACCCTGCCCCTCGTGAATGTGCAAGGCTTAGGAGGATACAGACACTCTTGCTCCAACTGATGTAGTTATATTCACTGCCCGCAAGTTGCTGGGGAACTAGAAACTTAAGGGGAAAGCTGCGGAGTTCTGTGGAGAAGTTGCCAGAGGCTCCTTGTGCTGTTTGAAAGCAGCCTCCTAGGTGCCAAAGCACAGGCAGACCTGGGGAAACTTCTTGCTGAACCCTGCTTATCTAAGCAAAAATTCAGGGCTGTGGAAAGCTTTGGAAAATCTTTGCCGGGCAATCCACACCGTCACTGTTGCCTTATACCAGTTGCTTAGCAAGTTAATATATCACTGCTGCGAGGGGCTCGCTGAAGCACGGTCATTTGTGGCTGTCTAAAATTAGACGTGGCCATCTCGAGCAAGAAACTGGCTTTTCCTTGGAGGTGCTGTCGAAATCGGACCCTGCTTTCCCATTGGTCTGACTAGCGCCTCGGGATTAAAGTGAAGGTAAACAGCAATTGCCTAAAAACTGAGACCTCCTGGCTGTACAACCTGTCATGGACAGGGGCTCTCTGAGGACGGGTGGAAACTCCACTGCCGAAGGCAGCTAAAATAAGTGAGTTGAGTAGTGGGGAAAAAGTACAGCAGAAAAGCACCTCCATAATGTCTGGAGCATGGGGAGGCTGAGTGGGGTGAAACTGGCCCTTCCTGAGGGACATGGCTTTGAATTAAAAGATCACAGCACCTGTGCCAGGCCTCCTGTACCAGCAAAACCAGCACTTGAGTGTCTTTGGTATGTGGTGGTGGTTACTCAGACTCTCTCCGCAGTGTCCTGGGCAGTGTTAGTGCTGTGTCCCTTTCCCTCTGCATATGTGTTTGGGGTCACTGTTTTCTCCTCTTTTCTTCACAATGCTCTCTACCAATCCAGCAAATGTTTTGCTGTTGCCGCCGCCACTGTCTTCTTGCTTGGTAGCCTTTCCTCATTGTCCCATAATCAGCCACGTTGCCTCTTCCTTTCATGATTCCTCTTCCAATGCAAAGTGTGCCCCTGGGGTGGAGAGAGGTGAGCCTGCCCCACCAGAGCTTCTCCCTAATTACAGCCTCACGAGCAGGCGGTCATGGGGCTGAGCTTGCTGTGCCCGCAGAGCCCACACAGAAGCACGAAGCGTCGAGTCTGGGCCACAGGGAGATGAAAGACCTGGAAGGCTTCATGGCTGGAGGGAGGGCCCTGGAGATGCTGACAAGCTGATCCCAGACCTGTCACGGGACGGGTCACAGCCTGTCACCCGTCACAGAGGTTGGATCCTGGATGGTGACTTCCGCACCAGTCACTTCCTCCTGTAAAAGGCCCACACACATTTTTGTTTTCCAACCAGCTCCTCTTTTTTGGAGTGATGTGGCCTGATGGTTAGTGTTTCAAGGGACCTCTGGGTCCCACACACTGACCTGAGCCAGCTGGGCCCTGTGGGCTTTGCTGCTCCTGCCCCATGGCCCAGATCCAATGAGGGAACCAGGCTGGGGAGGGTGAAGCTCCCAGAATGGGGCCTGTGCAGCTGGGTGCTGAGGTATATGGCAGAGCTGTCATCACCCTCCGCATCTCTCTAGCCTTGGGGTGCCAGCTGGTCTCCAACATCCCCTTTGCTGTCAGCCAAACTGCTTGGCCCAGCTGCCTCCTCGACAGGGCTGCTGTGGCCTAGGCCCTTCTCCTAGCACGTGGCATAGGCTCCACAAGAGCACACACATTTGTCTGGCGGGGCAGGAGCAGAAAGACAGGGTGCTGCAGACCTCCTGAGAGCTCATCCAAGTGCTGCCACCTTTCAAGAAGGCTGAGAGCCCTCCAGGCAAAGAGGCTCCCTGCTCGAGTGAGAGCAATGAAGCAGAAGCCCTCTACCCCACAAGATAAATTCTTCAATCAAGGCAAGCAGAAAAGAGCAGCAAATTTGTCTGCTCTGTGTTGTCCCCCTCTTATCTCCTGCTGCTGGCTTGGATTGTAGGGGCCTGACACAAGGGACAGCCCTTCAGAAATAGCCCTTTACAGTCACTGGCGTGCCCCCAAAATAGTCCTTGAGCTAGGCTTGCTTTAACTCTTCCCTGACCCTCCTAGTGACAAATAGTGTTGCAGAGTATATGGCCACAGACCATCTGCCCACCACCCGCTGTGTTCTGCTGCCTTCCTCTGTGGTCCCTCTTCAAGGGGACCACAAGCATGGCTTCTTTTGGGGGCTGTTTGTCTTGTACATCAGCTGTCTGGGACTTTACGGAGTGGACAGTGATGTAAGGCTCTGCTGAGGATCCATCCAGGAGATTTCCATGGGAATAGCTGCCATTTAGTGTTTTATAAAGTCTCCCTTTAAGCTGGGAAAAACACCACTGTTGGATTTCCACTCCAGTGGCGGCAGCTGAGCCCAAGACCTTGTCCTGCAGAGGGGAGGACGGCACATGCGTGTGTTTAAACTCTGCCTCCAAACCCCCCCAGGCAAAAGGGCTCTCCTCTTAAGCAGATGTAGCAGGGCTCTGAGAGTGCTATCAGGATGCCAAACCTTCACTCCGTTTGCAAATCACTGCCAGCACCTCAGGTCAGACTTTTTGATCTAATGCAGAGAGCTCTGTTTCCCTCCCGCGCACCTTGCTGTGCCAGGGGGATTAGCTAGGGCAGGTCTGCTGACCTCCATGTGCCTTAGCAACAAAAGTCCTCCCCGCACAGTGGCTTCTTGAGCTCAGAGCTTTTTCTAATGTGCTAGATGTGCTGCTCTTAGCCGGTGACTGCCTGTGCAGCTCTGGCACTTTGGGCAACAGGCAAGAGCAGGTAGCTCACCCAGAGGTGGGCTTTGGGCAGCAATGACTGGATGTTGAAGATCTGATACGCTGGCTGCGGTGCCTCAGCTCCATGTGCAGCTTGGAGTGGCTGATAAAAGTCTGGTGAGATCCTTCATCCCCAATAACATGCAGGATTTCTCTGAATAGGCTTAAATCCTCACTACCAGGAAGCGAGAGCCTGCAATCAGGCCTGTTCCTGAGGCAGCTAGTTCTTGTGCTCACCTCCCAAGGCCAGGCCGCTGACAGTTTTATCAGCCGTACCCAGTTTCCTCTAAGGAGAAGATGCTTTGCTAGAGTTGTTGCTGGTATGTTCAGAACAGACGAGGCTGTGGTATGAGACTGGAAGAGATTGGCTTGCTTAGACAAGGAAGACACATTTAGAGGGGTAGAGCTATTTGACCCAGAAGGAAGTTTGCCCATGGGCAAGAATGCAAGTGGAGAATGTCCGAAGACATTTTAAATGAAAAGGCTGTACCTTAAGCAGAGAGAACCAAACAGGTCTTTGAGTAGCAGAACAAAAACCCAGACAGTTTTTAAGATGGAGCAAGTGGACACCATCCTCCCAACCACATTCCCACCTGGGAAGCACAGGTGCCATGGGTTCAGCATAGCCTTATATCCACTGTGCAGAGCCAGGCAGCTTTCAGCAGGGAGGCTTAATGTCTTGTCTTCCCTGTTCTCCCCTAGGTCTCAAAACAGGAGGTGGCTCCTCGGGTGGCTCAGGGAACACTTTCCACTACACCTTCCATGGAGACCCCCACGCCACCTTTGCATCCTTCTTTGGAGGCTCCAACCCATTTGATATCTTCTTTGCTAGTAGCCGCTCCCGAATGTTCAATGGCTTTGACCAGGAAGATATGGACATTGATGACGATGATGACCCTTTTGGTGCCTTTGGCCGATTTGGTTTCGATGGTATTAACGGGGTTCACCAGCGGCACCAGGAGTCCCTGCACACGCGGAGGAAGGTCCAAGACCCACCCGTCATCCATGAGCTCAAGGTGTCCCTGGAAGAGATCTACCATGGCTCCACCAAGAGGATGAAGATCACCCGCAGGAGGCTCAACGCCGATGGCCGGACCATGCGGACAGAGGATAAGATCCTAAACATTGTCATCAAAAGGGGGTGGAAGGAGGGAACAAAAATCACGTTCCCCAAAGAAGGGGATGCCACCCCGGACAACATCCCTGCTGACATCGTCTTCATCCTCAAGGACAAGCCTCACTCACACTTCAAGAGAGATGGGACGAACGTGGTCTACACTGCAAACATCAGTCTTAAAGAGGTGGGTGTCAGTGGGAAATCCCATGGGGTGGGTGGTGGCACTAGGTCATTGCACATGGGGCCAGACCTTTCATCATCCCGGTAAGGAAAGGCATGGGAGACACGAGCAGAGAGCTCTGCAGAGAGGAGCTGTAGAGACGCGCCTGTGTCTGTTCTGGAGAGCTGCTCTGTCTTCTTGCTGGATCTAGGACATGGGGTGCTGCAGTCCCTACCGAATGTGCCTTGCTTCTTGAGCAAATAAATGCAGTACTTATCCATTTTCCCTGTTCCCCATATGTTCCATCCTTCTATTTCAACGTTGGGTAGTCACATATGGAAGACAGCCCTGATCCTCTGTAGAAACAAGAGAAGAAACAAGTTACCAACTTGTGTTTGCGTAGCTGAGTCTGCCGCTGTTGTTGTCCTGGATAGGGCCTGGTACCTCCTTGCATGGACAGAAACCAGGGCCGCACAGAGAAATGTGGTGCTGGACATCTCTTTAACCAAAACCAGCTGTTTTCTTTGGTTCTGGCTTCTCTAGATAAAGGGCGATAAATAAACTATTCTGGAGAGCCTGGCTGTGAGCAAAAGGCAGAACACTCCAGCCACCAGTCCCGGAGGTCACAGTGAGACTCAATGCATCAGAGCCACAGCGGCTCTTTGCAAAGGTGGGAGATGAAGAGAAGATTACCCAAGTACAAGATGTGCCGTTCACTACTCCTGTCTAACTACCTTTTAATAAATGCCAGCTGGCAGCTGCATTTAACACTGACATTTTTGGCAGCTGCCATTTGCTGTTCCTTTCAGACTCTAGACACTGTCTGTCTTCTTAATGAGTTGATTTTTTTTAAGACAGATTTATGCTTTGAGGTGCATTTAATGGAAATCAGCTCAATGGGCCAAGAGCTGAGGTAGGTAAACGTGAGCTCTATAGTGTGCCAGCAAGTTCAAAGAGTTTTGGGATGGCTCTACGTCTTTGCTGGGACTATGACTTTGCTGATGATACCAAACTGGGAGGAGTAGCTGATACCCCTGAGGGCTGTACTGTCATCCAGAGGGACCTGGACAGACTGGACAACTGGGCGGTGAAAAACCTCATGCAATTCAACAAGGCCAAGTGCAAGGTTCTGCACCTGGGGAGGAATAACCCCAGACACCAGTACAGGCTGGGGACTGACCTTCTGGAGAGCAGCTCTGC